GACTGTGCGCACGAGTCTGTTGGCCCCCCCCCCTGCCATATCAGCACTGCGAGCCCCCGCAGCACACAATTCCATGATCAGCATTGGGAAGTTCAATGTTGAGTTGGTATGTTTTTATTTCCATTATTATTAGTATTAATAATATTATACTCTTTTCCATTGTTACTATTTTATTAAAGTAGGTTTAATTTTCCAACCCGTAAGTCTCTCTCCCTTTTCTCCTTTTCTTTCCCTTTCTGGGGAAGGAAGGCGTTAATAGAATCTGCCAACCACTTTAATTGCCAGCCCATCCTTAAATGCTGACAAAGTCCTTGCTCTGATCTCTACCCAAAATTCAGCTCGCTTACAAGCCTCCACCATTCCTTTGCTATACTGCAAGGATGTAGATAGCTCAAGGTGTCCTTTGTAAGAAGCAGCCTGAAGTACCATGATAAATGTGCCCATCCCAGACTTTGGGGAACTGGCCTTTGTTCCCTGATCCACAGAGGATATGCCATCGCTTGCTACAAACATACCACCTTAAATTTTTTTCCCCTCTAAGGTTTTGCTTTAGTCTTAGACATGTCTCACCTGGATCCCGCTGATGCTGTACAGAGTAGGTAGGGGAGGACCATCAGCCTCCTAACAGTTCAATAAAAACTCCCATCCTCTTTTTTTTTGTGTTTAGAAAATGCTCATACCCACACCCATACTGAACGGGAAAGTCTCATCTCAAACTGTGCAGGTATGGAGGACAAGCAGCTCAGAGGTTAACAGTAAAATAGTGCGTGTCTGCTTGAATTCAGGCTTATAGCATAGGAACCAAGCCAGCTCCTTCCCAGGCTGAAGCAATGCCTGTTGATAAAACCATTATACATTTTTCTTTCTAACCCAGCATCAAAAAAGCCCTTCTTGAGAGGCACTCAACATGCCCCTAAGCTGCTGAAAATGTTGAGGCTCAGGCACTGCCCACCTCCCTACCAGAGATTCACCTGCACCCTTACTTATGTCCACCCTCTCACAAGGCTGTTCTTAACTTCTAATTATTTACTCAATTCTAATTCTTTTTCCCCAGAATCAACTATCTCTCCTAAATCCCAGCCTCTAGAAACACACTAAAATGAAAGCACTGTTTTATATATGTCCTACATGATAAGGACAAGTGAGCATTTTGCTCCAATACCCTTCAGACAAATGAACACAGCACATTGCAAACATTAACAACTATAGCACAGTCAAGGAAAGGATGATTTTTCAGTCATCTTGGCAGGTCAGTCCTCCATAGTCAAGAATAACAGTGAAGGCAATCAAGCCTAGCTTTCAGCAAAGGGGGAGGGAAAAAAAAAAAAAAAAAAAAAGACATGGCCAAGAGGCCATGTATGAGAGGGAAAAGGAAGAGCCTACAGCAGCAGGAGGGAAAGAAAACAAACGTACACAGCAGGTGTACAAGATCCCTCAAGGAACTCAAACCAATAGAAAAGATAATAATGGAGCAGCAGCTACACAAAAGGTTTAGCAAAGTATTTTCACATTTGTTGAGGATAAAAATCAAGATAAAAGGAAGAAAGAAGATACAGCATAGGAAAAAGATGGAAACAGATATCAATGAATGGGGTTTTACAAGCAAGATACTACCTAGGAAAGCACCGTATCCTTAGCGGCACTATGTCAGCACATGGTGGAGGAGATGGAAGTAATCTCTAGAGCAGCTGTGCTCAAGTACAGGCAGGTAGATGGAGGGAAGAACAGCAAAGCAGCACACAGCAGGAGGGAAAGGCAACACAGGAGGGCTGGCATGCAAGATGGTGGCAGCACCTAAGTTTTTAAAATGGCTGAAGACTCAAAAACCAAATGCACTTTCATGATGTATTCAAGGGCTTTGTTTCTAACTTTTTATTAACTAGCCCATGTTCTGTTCTTTTTAATAAATAGTATTTATTTGCATCTATTTTACATTGTCTCAGAAATAGCAATAGTAAGCACTAATTTTTTTAAAAGATGAGATGTAGCTTCCAACAGGTT